TCCCACCAGTGAGGGGGCTGGGGATGCACAAGGATTTGGGAGGAACACAGCTGGGACACCTGACCACAGGGATATTCCATACCATGTGGCATGTGCTCAGCATGTAAAGCTGGGAAAAAAGGAAAGGGGGGACATTTGAAGTGATGGCATTTGCCTTCCCCAAGTCACTGTCACAAGTGATGGAGCCCTGCTGTCCTGGGGATGGCTGAACACCTGTCTGTCCATGGAAAGTGGGGAATGAATTCCATGGTTTGATTGTGCTTTACCTGTTAAACTGTCTTTATCTCAACCCATGAGTTTTCTCACTTTTACACTTCCGATTCTCCCCAATGCCACCAGTGAGGAGTGAGCAAGTCGCTGTGTGGGGCTGAGCTGCTGACTGGGATTTAGCCACATTTGCCCACCACCCCCACCCCCAGAGCTGCTGTGAGTCTGTGGCATCACTAGCCCTATGGTCATACACACACCAGTTTTTGGCCCTGGCAGGTGAGGACAGTGGGCATTTTGCTGTGGGTTTTCCTGCTTTGCCTGTGCCTGTGCTAAAAGCAGAGGAGGAGCTGGTCAGCAGGGGACTGGCTGAGGTCTGCACTGGTATCCTTGTCATTCTTCCACCCACACAGGAGCACCAGGCACTTCACAGCCTGTACACATAATAAAATCATGGCCTATGGGTGTCTAATATTACCTCACCATTCTGCTGTGCTTGTGTAACTAAGGTGAAATAACACACAAGAGCACATGGCACAGCTGTTCATTCCATTCCACCAGGGGCTCACACTGCTCTGTCCTGTTTCTGGAGAGTTACCTTGCAGCATTTAACCTGCATGATCCCACTGACTAAACATCAGTGTCCTCAGGCTGGGAAGCAGCGACTGGAGAGAAGCAACCAGCTGGCCACAAAAAGGGAGGGAGGTGCAGGGAGTGACAGAGGTGGCTGAGAACACTGGGACAGCTCCATGCTCTCACGAGGTGTGACAGGAAAGTTCATGCCCATGCACAGGGAGAGATCCTCTGCTTTTAAACCATCATCAAAAAGACTTCTTGCAGAGGTGGTTTCATCTCATCTTTACTTTGAGGGTGGTGAGACACTGGCACAGTTTGCCCAGAGCAGCTGTGGATGCCTTATCCCTGGAAGTGTTCAAGGCCATGTTGGCTGAAGAACCTTGTCTAATGGAAGGTGTTCCTGTCCATGGCAGGGGTTTGGAAATAGATGATCTCCATTCCTTTACCTTGCAGTGGCAAAAGGCAATAGCACTTCCATCAGCAACACAAGTGTGGGTTGGTGGTGGCTTTTTTTTTCCCCCCAAAGGGAATTTATTGCTTTCATACAGCAACTTTCAGGACTGAAGTCCTCCCTTTATCTCCAGAGCCAGCACAGCTGATTGTACCCAGTAATTTTCCTTCTGGTGACCCACGAGGAGGGGCAGCTCTGCAGCTGGGGCCAGCTCAGTCCCAGGGGTGCCATTAGGCTGTGACTCAGCTGTCAGGAGGTCTTGTAAAATTGGGGTGTGCACAGTACCCTGCTCTCAATGCTCACACCTAAGGGCTGCTGCTAACAGGACACCCTTGGAGCACACCAAGGAGCCATGGATGTTTCTCTCAATAACTGCACTGGCCAAAAACCTGTGATCTGGTTTAGAACCTGATCTACCTCACTAGGGTATTTCTCAACTTGTTCAGCTCCCTGCCAGGACTGCAGCTGCAGCTTGGTGGCAGGAGCAGGGTCCTCCAGCCTGCTGGTAGGTGGAACTTGATCCCACACACTGCCTGCTGCTCTCTGAGCCTGGTTAGCCTTTGGCTTTACTGCTGAAATGCTCTTTCCTGGCACATGTGAACCTAGGAGCAACACTAGCCTTCTGCCTACCTGACTGTGATACCAGGATCCTTCCCCCCCACCCCAAGTGGACTGACAAAAGGTAAAGATAAGGCAGTGATCTGCACTTGCTGCCAGCAGTGACAGCATTTCAAGTATCACATGAGAAGGATGTGTCAGATAAAGTCACCTCATGGTGCTGGATCAGGAGCAAGAAGATAAAGCTGAGGACAGGGAGCTCCATGTGTGAGGAGGAACATGAACACTTGGCATGCAAGCAAGGAGTTCGTGCTGGCAGGACTGGTCCCTCAGGCAGGCAGAGGAAGCCTTCCTGATCCTCTCCCCCAACTGCCTTTTCCCTGTTGGAAAAGGGATGAGATGGAACTTTTCCCTGAGATGGAACAATGTCCCAGTGAGACTGACCAACAGGGTCCTCAGCTCTCCAGCCAGGGCTACTCAGGGACTGACCACACAAGGAAACAGGGAATAAAAAAAACCCAAGGGGTGAGGGGTTTACCCACTTGCCTAGCAGTTATAAACCACCTTCATCCTGGTTTAACCTGAGCAGCTGACCAAGACACTGAGCAACAGCACACACAGCTCTGAAATAACAGACAGCTCCTTCAATTTCTCCCAGCTGCTCCTTATCCACAGAACACCACCCAAGTACTTCACTTGAACTCATGCCTCTTTTAACATCACAGCTTCACCACAATTCCCAAAAGACATTGTATTCCCACAGGCTGGCCCAGATCCTTTGCATTTATTCAGGAATCTCTGTCCACTGGACAGCACAGGCACCTGTGGCTGTAGGAGCTGCAGCAGTGGCACCTGAGCCCTCACTCTGCATCTCTCCCTCCCTCCCTGCACAGAGCACCCAGCACTGGTCCAAAGCCAGCCCTGAGAAGCAGGGGGTGGGCAGGCTCATCCACAGTCCTGTTGTACCAGCAGCACTCTGGGGACAGAAGGAAAGAACTGCAGAGTCTCATAGTCCACACATTGAAACCAAGGGGACTTCTGCAGCACACACAAACTTGCAGTGTAACACACTGACAAACGTGAACTGGCATTAAAAATAAACCCAGAGTCATTCTGCAATCCAACAGCTTTTATTGAACTCTTTATATTGTACCTTTGTGAACATTTATGCAATAAATACAGCTCATGGTATTGATTTTTTTCCAGCTCCTTAAAGCATAAGAAGTCTTCCCTTTGTGCTGGTAGCATGTTGACACTACATGGAAAGAAAAGCTGTTGGATGACAAGGGGCAATGCTAAGCAGCTCCTGACAGTGAGCATTGTAAGAAATTCATAACAGCAACCAGAGGTTTTCAGAAATGAGCTTGGTGAGCAGATGAGACTGGTCTGACTGCTTAGAGGAGCCTCTGCTAGCCAGAGCTCTGAGCCAGCCTCAGCTTGACCAGGAGGTGGGAAATAACACTGGACATGACAACTTCAGAGTGAACCTCAACTCATTGCCTGGTAACTGCTTGCAAGATATTGTACAGATTTTACTGGATAGTTTGTGAAAAAATAGAAGTATTTTTGCAGAGCCAACATTAGACCAAAAGGATTGATATTCTCTTACAGTGACAGACAAATACAGCATAAAGTGTTGATACAAATATCCATGTGCAAAATGGTTTTCAGGCTTAGTTAGCACTTGCATAACCAGAAGATGCAGGCACAGATTTCAGAAAAAAAATATACATCTCTGTTCAAGCTCTGGTCTTGAACTTCAGGTTAGAGACTGAACAAACTGCAATATCTTTCTTGGTCCTCGGAGTATTTGAAACAAAGATGAGCCCAGGGTAAATACATCCCTACCACGACTAACCAGGACCAGGCTAGCAATGAGGTTCTTAGATATGTAAAAAGCATTACACTTATTTTGCAGAGAAACTTCAGCCTGGATTCCCTGTCCCCTTCTCTTTGCTGCCTTCATCCCTGCTATGGGAAAGAGCTCTGGAAAGTTTTTCAGCCATTGAGCAACTCATTTATTTACCCAATTCCTCTGGTCAAACAGGGTTGCTACTGTGAATAAGAGGGGCTGGTGACCTCTTTTCCTCCCTGAGCCAGTGTAGAACAGGACACAGCTCCTGCTCTTAACAAACTACATGGGCAGAGGGGAGCAGGTGGATTTCTCTGGATCCTTTGGCTTACTTGGATTGCTTTATACTCACATCCCCTCTTCCTACCAGCTCTAACCAGCCCTTATTGCTCAGGCTGCAATGCTGCCTGTTTTCATGACACTACAGACATTCATGTATGGACAGTAAACTACAAAAACACATTCAAATCTTGACACTTTTTTTCTTACCCACTAATCTCCTGCCACACCTCTAACTCTTCTCTTGTAGTGCTGCTCTGAAAAGCAACTTTAGGTACCTCCTTTTACCCTCCTCATATTTCTTGTTGAATACAGTTAGGTTGGGACATGGAGCTTTTACAGGGGAAAGGGGAAAAAAAACCTACTAAGCACCTCCCTCCCTGCTGCTGTCAGTGAAGGTCAGATGGAAAATGGAGAGGGGGGAAGAATCAGATAAAGCCAGTGAAGTAAATATTCAAGAGCAACAGAAATGTCAAAATTTAGCAGCAGTGACAACTATGACTGCAGCAAACACTTCAGGTCATAGCAACTAGTGAAGTACACAGGTTCTTCTACGAGTGTGGGAATCAAAGGATGCAGTAAAAATACATAAATCAAAGAAATAACATCCACAAGTTTAAGGTGAGAGAGAAGAAGCAGGGAAGCAAATGAGGCTGCCACACTGCTGGCAGGGAGGGATGGCCCCTGGTGCCACTTCTTTGGCTTCAAGCTCTTGCCTTCCTTTGGCTCACCTCCCTCCAGGCACAACTGCAAAGGCTCTGCTTGATGTCCTTTGCTCAGCACTGACAGGACAGAGCAGCTTCTGTCACCTCTCCCCTCTGAGCACACTTCCAAAATGGACAGTCAATCCCACTGCCAGAGGGAGACCAGCAAGGTAGAAAGGAATCTATATACAGGAGGTAGTAACTGTGAGTTTTAAATAACCCCTTTGTTTTCTCTTGGCTGACTCACAACTCCCTTCAGCTACATTTTATTTTAATCCAAAACAAAACCAACTTGGCTATCCTACCACCAACAGCCCCAGCCTAAATAGTCTGGATTTTTTAACTTGAGTGGAGAGACAAGCCAAGAAAAATGTCACTCTTGCTGATCAAAATCTTGGCAAAAGGACACTCAGAAGGTGATCAGGGCAGTCTTTATGAAGGTCAAGAACAGCTACTTTTCTCCTGTCCCCACAGGGTGACTCCACTCCCCATCACCACTAGCAGCAGTGGTACCCTGAGCACAGCAGTGCCCAGCCAGGGCTGCACACAAACATGACTGAAGGGTCCAGAGCCACAGAAACAGTGAAAAGCTGTAGCTGCACACACCTAATGCTCATTATTCTCATGTACTCTTGACAGTACTAGTTCACACCATGTTTGGCATTTGCTTCCAAGCTTGGCTACAGTGAATTCAATTAACAGCAGGACTTTTCTCCTGGAATAAGGCACTACAGTGTAGGAGCACTTGAACAAGACTTGGAAGAGTTTACAGCTCCTGAGAGATTACTTTTGGTTCTTCTAAAACAGGCACAAAAGAAAGCACTTCAAGATAAACAAGAAGGCAGGGATGTAAGAGGAAGGTACTAGATCAAACAGAGAGATTTCTGGAAGAGATTGTCCAGAGAGGATTCTCTCTCACTGGAGATATTCCAGATCTGTCTGGACACAATCTTGTGCCATGTGCTCTGGGATGACCCTGCTTGAACAGGGAGATGGGACCAGATGACCCACTGTGGTCCCTTCCAACCTGATCCATTCTGTGAGTCCTTTTAAGTCTTTCCACTGGTGCTCACTTATCTAGGTGCTACTGTCTGTC